TACAGGTGAATCCTATTCTTTTTCATCTTCTAAAAAGATTAAACCCTGCAATGTTTCGAAACATTTCCCGAGAAGACACTTTCTCTTTCTACGGTACTACCGAGAAGACACTTACCCTTTCTACAGTACTATCTACCATGGAATTGCATCCATGACCATCAAATAGCTGTAACCGAGGTCAAGCTTATTACATTAAGGAAATGACACACACAACATAAATATCCTCGTACTGTTTCTAACTTAAGCCTTAGCCATATATTGAAAATTTTGCTAGTAATACTGGGACATAAAAGTTGAGAAAACATTAACGGCACATTTGCACTCCTTCTGACTAACTAAGAAGAATTAGGTAAGTGCTTGTAAATCATACAATAAGGTGATTTTCTAAATTCTAACCATGAGGACTGGCATCATCGTTAGTCCTGACTACATATTCCAAAACAACCAGAATATATGCTTGTGACCCTGCACTCTTTAATATGATGCCTGCACCTTTTTATCTTCTCTCTTTCCCCTTGACTATATATTATATGTAAGACTCTCTTATCAGGCATTTAGAAACCGAAACTGCGTCAGGTTTAGTCTGGGCCAGTTTTAAGGGGTTGCCAAACACACCCTTATACATCCAAATGAGTTATACTTCAGAAGCTGTAATTATTAGGAAAATTACTTAAACCAACTTATTTCATTTGATATTTAAGAAGATAGATAGTTTGAGTGGTGAACTGGTGATAAATAAATTAAAAATGTTTAATACAAATTTAATTATTGATAGTCTTGAATTCAGATGTCATTGTGAAACTTTAGCCTGTTGCAAACCTTTGCTGACTGCTAAAGTTTCAGTAATTACTTGTATAGTTTCTTATCTTCTAGATGGACATGTTTGATTTGATATTTCATAGTATCAGAGTAATTTACTAAGTGACATCGCCTTCATTCCATTGGAAGCAATTGCTGGTGGGTTAATATTATGCCAAGAGATCCTTTTCCACTTTAATTAATCAAATATCTTACTGAGTGTGCATCGTTTTCACTTTTTAGGTGTCCGTTGAACTTTTCCGAGTTTTGGTTACCATACCATAATACCAACATAACCAGCGTCATCATCTTATCATCATTATATTGCTAGATTTTTCCTGCTCTTTTTCTTTCTAGATGTTGTTACCAATTCGGAGTTATATTTACAGGGAGAATAAGAATCTTACTGGAACAGCACGATATGCAAGTGTTAATACTCACCTTGGAGTAGGTCTGTTCATTGTGCTTAAAGATCTAATAGTCGATGACTAATTGTTATGTTCTTCAATGGCTCTTTTTGACATATAAACGTCTGCATGCAGAGCAAAGCAGGAGAGATGATTTAGAATCTCTTGGCTATGTACTCATGTATTTCCTAAGAGGAAGGTTAGATACTTCACGCAAAAACTTTTCTTTCTTTTGGATTTAGATGGAATTTTTAGCAATTTGGAATAGTTTATGTTATGCCTTGTGATTTATGTTTTATTCTGCGCTGCATCAGCCTTCCCTGGCAAGGATTGAAAGCAGGAACCAAAAAGCAGAAGTATGATAAAATTAGTGAGAAGAAAATGCTCACTCCTGTAGAGGTACTACAAATACTTTTCTTCTGATATTTTCCTTCCAACTAAGAGAACTTGTGAAAGTTAAGAATGTGCTCCACTTTTAATCGTATGTTTCTAACAAGAGAAGGGTGCTTGATGTAAAACCTACACAATTGCCTCTGTTCAGGTATTGTGCAAATCATATCCGTCTGAATTTGTATCTTACTTCCATTATTGTCGGTCCTTACGGTTTGAAGACAAGCCAGACTACTCCTATTTGAAGAGGCTCTTCCGTGATCTTTTTATTCGAGAAGGTACGACTAGATTTTTTAACTCTCTGTGTACTTCTTCACTTATGACAATTTGCAGCAGTAAAAATTGAGAACCTTGTGGTATATTCTTCAAATGGTACTTAATCTTTAAGGGGGTTGTTATCTTCCAGTGTGAGCCCCAGCTTTCTTTTTGCAGACTTTTCTTTCTTTGGTCTGGCTTGACATTTATATTGTTGCAGGCTATCAGTTTGATTATGTATTTGACTGGACGGTCTTAAAGTATCCTCAGATTGGCTCAAGTTCTAGATCACGAGTAAGCCTTTTGATGTGCTACCCAATTGTTATCTATATTATTTGCTGTTTATTTGTATTTTTACTCTTTTTCTTGCACGCCTTTCCAGCAGCCAACTGGAAGACCTAGTGGCGCTCCTGGACCGTCCCAGGAAAGAGGAGAAAGGACTACAGGTTTGTTCTCTCTCCCGAAGAATTTCTACATGTGCTCAGTGCCACATTTTTTTCTTTCTTTTTGGGTTCCTTCAGTGGCTCACAGCTTATATAATTAATTATCTTCCTAGTTGGACAAGAAATACGTGATAGATTCTCAGGGGCGGTTGAAGCATTTGCTAGAAGAAATGCCTCTGGATCTGGTCATCATGGTGATCATTCCAAGCACAAAATTGTGGATGATGGAGGATCTTCTAGAGACGCAGTAAGTTGCTTTCATGGAACTTTTTTTAATAGGTGTTGTCCTTGGCTTAAGATATGATGCGGAGCAATGCTTATTAACTGGATGTTTCAAGCTTTAAAATTAACTGGAGAACTTAATAATTCAGATTTTTGTGCTCCTCTGCATTTATAATAGTACACTATTGCATGCAGATCAAAATCACTTTGGATGAAAAATTGTACCCAACAGCTCCAACGTTTTTTAATTGTTCTAGTAGTTAAATTCAATTATTTTGCATCATTAACCAGGAAGACTCCATTTGGTGGACTGAGTATCCATGTAGATTGATCATCTCTCCTTTTTGGTGAAATGTCCATGGTTTACATTATGAGAAGCAAAAGTATATACTATAGAAGTAGTGAGATGCAAAAAATAGCTCCATGAAGGGAGAATAAGTCACTGTTCTGGGGAAAATGCCTCCTAGAAAAGGGTGAACCAATACCAGTCGTAATTAGTCCTACTGAGCAAATATTATGCTAGTACACAGTTCAGATGGAGACTCCATTACTGTTAGTGACCTCTATCTGCATCTGAACTCGAGCTGCTAGATCATTTGTGTAATAAACATGCAAATGCTGTGGCCCTGCACTCTTTAATTTGAAAATTTCCTTGCCTGCTGTAGATTTGGCATCATTAGGTGTACAATTAAAGAACCTTCCTAGGAAAGTCCATTATGAAGATACAGCTATATGTATGCAGGCATATGTAGAAGCCATGTATGTAATGAGCAATTAACTAAAACCTTGGTGTTATATAATAATCAATACAAGTCAGTGTTAGAATTCACATACAACAGCCCCAAATGTGATGGTCATAATTTTTACTACATACAGTTTTTAATTATCAGGTAAGTATCCTCAAAGCTAACTACTATTGTCCGACACACCAAAAACATAAAATATTCTGTGTCCTTTCCACACAATCACCTAACCTCCGGCCATCCCAGGCTTAGGAACCGAGCATATAACACACTTTTTTTGGTTTATGATAAACATAAGGAACTTTGACTTGCTATCAAATGGCAAACACAATTGGTACACGCAGACACGAGTATCCCCTGTGAGACCTTGCGGAAACTGATGCAGCAAGATTCACAGTGCAGACTGTGTTTTGTGCTCCTCTGATAATCTTTATATGCGCACCAGGTCGATCTAGAAAAATCCCGAGCATCATCGTCTCGTAACGGTAGCGCATCGAAGAGAGCTGTCATATCAAGCAACAGAGTTAGTTCTGGCGATCACAACGAACAACCCAGCCGAGTAAGTCGCCTCCTCTCAAGCGGAAGCA